CACCATTATGCCAAGAAGGTTGTGGGGTCCTAAGCCCACCTGCCTGCTCTTCCCCATCTGGAAAGTGGGTAAGATGGATGGAGAAAAAGAACATGATGTGGTGGGGTATGTGACCAGGCAGGATCAGGTCCCCCCTTTCATGTCTGTGAATTCAAGAACCTTATCTTAGGCCCCGGGCTTGTTTCTTTTAAATGGGGAATAGAATCAGAACCAATCTACTTTGTGCATCCTTGCTCTACATGCTTGCTCTGTGCCCACACAAGGTGCAGGATCAAATGTGTGATGTGCCTGTAATCTCAGCACTCAAGGAGGCAGGGGCAGGCGGATCTTTGTGAGTTCCAGGCCAGCCTGGATCTACAAAGCAAGCCCAGGACAGTCAAGGCTACAGAGAAACCCTGTCCTGAAAAACCAAACCAAATCCAAACAAACAACTGTGAAGTGCCTTTGAACTAGAAGCCCAGTCCTGGGTTTCTCTCGGTTACTTCTGGAGCAGGAGTTGCAGGGGAAGGGGAACAGACAGGACTAGTATGGTCTCAGAGACTCTAGGGAACCTGTCAGCCGCACCAATCCTGAGCACAAAGCAAAGCCCTCTGGCGCCACAGCACAGCTAGTGGCTGCTGTGTCGTGCAGACACCTCATCTACGTGCTGAGTGTTGTCTCAAATGCTCCTCTGGAACACAGGGCTCCACCTCCCCCCTCCCCTGTTTCCTCTGGTGTCAAGTGCAGGGTGTAGGTGTGGGAACAGGTGTGGCTGGTTCCTCCGGTGGCCTATAGCCAGCACAGAGCAGCTGTCCTGAGATTCCCCAAGTGTGGATAGAGCTCTTCAATGGGACATGCTGAAGTCACAGCTCATGACCTCCCTCTACAGAACTGGCCCCAAGACACCCCTCACCCGGTGTCCCTGGGACCCTGGGCTTCAGCTGCTGGATTATTTCCATAATCCTTCACTCCTGGATGTCAACTGTCTATGACTTGACTTGGTGTTCAGAGAACCCCTGGGATGGGAAGCAAAGCCATGACATTTGTGGGCCCAAGCCTGCGGAGTTCTGACTGTGTCCACGCCTTCCCTTTGCTTCTGGGGGGCATATAAACCTTCCTGGGAACAAGCAGGATGGGGAAGAAGCCCACAGGGCCTGCTTGCCCGCCCCATCTCTGGACCAAGGAGATCATGGCTTTGAGTGGGTGATGTGCTGAGTAGGGCAGAAGAGGATCTGCCATGGCCCAGCGGCAGTCTGCTGTGCCTACGGTTTTACTGTCTAGCCCCTACCCTTCTTTCCCCTGGTCCTGGGGCTCTGGCAGTTACCACTGGTGAGTCTTGAGGTGAGTCTCACTCCCTCCTCCAATCCTGCGACGTAGTCGCTTCTAACTCCACTGACAAGAGCGGAGCTTCTCACCAGAGTAGTCACCCGATCAAAGCATCCAGCACCAGGGAACTAAGTCGAGATCCCCGCATCTGCTCTAATCACTCTTCTTTGCCTAGCCTTCTAGTCACATGAGGCCAAGCAGTGTGGGTGATGGTCCTTCTCCACTGCTCTCTGAAAAGCTATTAGCCCTGGCAGCTTTGGTCAGACTCCTTCATGAGGAGGTCAGAGTTCAGCGGCATGAAGCTAGCTCACCCCGGCATGGTAGTGGAAGGGACCCTGCACACAAGAACCCAGAGGGTCTCTAAGGATCTGAAGCCACCAGAGGGCCCTGAAGGATATTCTCAGTAGCTCTTCCCCAACCAGACCTTCAAGAGAGGCTTCTCAGGCCGTTCGGAGGGACTTCTCTAGGTGCAGAACAAAGACTTAATTAACACTGTTCACCCTGCCAATATTCCCAAATCCTTAAGGACAACCATTCTTCAGAGGTCTTAAGTATTCCGACTGAGGCTTGTCAGAGGTGAACTCTGGCCAATGTCCAGGTCTCCACACAGCTGAAGTGGAAGCCCCAGTCCAGTCACAGTTGGAATCCCCCGGCCGGGGCCACTCTGTCCTACCAGACAATGCAAGCCACATCAGCTCTGGGGCTTCCCCCAGAAGCTCCCCTGCTCCTGTTTGGCCTTGTTTTTTTTTTTTTTTTTTTTTTTTTTTTTCCTGAGTCATCACCACAATCCTGGGACAGAAGACTGAGGACTCTGAGGGTCTTCAGAGGGTGTGAGGCTGAAGGCCATCCTGCTGGGCAGTGATAGGGGCCACAGCCCAGACCACATCTTTCTGCTGCAGAGGCAGGGCCCCACTAGACCCACCCAGACAAAAGGACAGATGTTCGGCACTCTGATCTCCTGCCTCATCAGCCCATTCTATAGAGGGAGAAAAGGTTAGGGGGGGGGGGGTAGGTGCCCTGTGCAGCTCTGGCTGAGACTGTAGCGACTCTCCGGGATTGCAGGGGCCACAGTAACTTCTCTGTTCCTGCAACGGCTTCCCTGAGCTTGTTTATAGAGCGCTTTAGACCCACAGAGGGAAACCAAGAGGTGCCTGCAATGTCCGGCCGGTGTCACCTTACGTCGGGCCATCCGTGAGCAAGGCTCAGGCTTTGTCACACACTGCAACTAAGGGCCAGCGGAAAAGGAGGGACTGGGAGGGTCTCTACCGCCGCTGCCCACAGGCTGGCCCCAGGAGCAAGCCCAAAGGGACCGCGTGCGCAGCGGCCGCTCCAGGCATTCCAAACGCCCGCAGCTAGAAAACAAAATTCCCACTAGCCCCAGGAGTCGCGGTGTTCTCCCGAACACCGTAACAACCCAAGAGAACCTCTTCCAAAACGCCATCTGCTCCTCAGGTTTTGGAACCCCGGCGACGGCGAGCTGCACCCGGGAAGGTGCCCCGGCCGTCTGTTGACCACCGCTCGGCTGACGCCCTGCGGCACACTGCCCACCCGGCGTCACCCACCGTGCACCAGCCTCCGCATGTCCTGGTAACGAGCCCACAAGTGAGCGCCGAGGTCCGCGCTGTCTGCGGGCGCCGAGCGCGGGGTGCTGGGGCAGTGGGCTCCGGGACTCGGCGGGCCGCAGCCAGGACAGGAGGGTGAGGACGAGGCGGCCCGCGGCCCGCCGTGGCCTCCGCACAGCAGCCAGCGCCGCGCGGTCGCCCGCAGTCCCGCGCCCGCCATGCCCCCTCGCGCGCTGCCCTGCCCGCCCTCCGCCCGTCCGCTCGCCCGTCCGTCTGCCCGCCGCCCTCCGGCTGCCCGCCCGCCACCGTGGCCGTGTGCTCCTCAAGGCGGCCGGCCAATGGGCGAGGCGCGCGGATCCCATCCGGCCAATGGGCGCCCCACTCGGCCCGGGGGGCGGGAGGTCCCGGGGCGGGGCGGGGCGGACTCCCGACCCCCTCCTCCTTGTTCCAGCCCGGCTCAGGGGCTCTGCGCCCCCCTTTGGTCGTCTCGGTGGCGATGGCGGCACTCTTCCCTCCCTTGCACGGGAAGTCGCAGAGCTTAGGAGCCCGGCTCTCTTCGAGGCCCTGGACGGCCGGACGAACGGGAGAGGCTGGAGGGCTCCAGTTCACGGCTCCTCCTTCACCCCTAGGATCTTTTTGTCCCTCCCCTCAGCCTTGGGATCGTCCTGACCCCTGTGCTTCTTCTGCCTCCTCTCCAGCAGAGTCCTCCTGCCCCGGGGCCCCGCGCCCCTGCCCCAGTTTCTGAGCGACTGCACACTCAATTGGAGCCAGGGCCGCTCATTCACCTAACTCACAAAGAGCTCTTCGTGCCTGCAGTGCCAGTCCCAAGCTGGGAAAGACCACTTGGGGGCCCTGATGGGCAGCTGACTTCTGCTGAGGCAGCCTTTTCTTTGTATTGTCTGGTACCCAACACAGGTGACCGACTTAACTGCCAGCCGATCTATTGGCCGGACTCTGCATGGCTGTGGGCCAGGATCATTGCAGCCACCGGATTCTGACGGCTGTAAAAGGATGTGCCGGACGGTGCAGGCCCCCAGTTGAAATGCCATGCCATGTCTTTTCAAGCGTTGTCTCAATGAAATTCTTTTCTGCTTGAAACCACCCCACCCACTTCTGTTTCCTTAGCCCGGGAGTACGCCAGGAGAGGCTGGCCCAGCATTCAGCCTCGTTGGTGGTTGAGTTGCCCAACTGAGCACATGGTGGCTGTTGGGTTTAAGGTTGTGTGTAATGTATTTGCTTGTAGCTCTCCTGTACCTAGGCTGAGACTCTGGTGTGCCAGATCCTGTGCTGGGTACTGGTAGTCATGGATCCCAAAAAGGGAAGCTCACGGGTGGCTGAACGCTTGCAGGCCCAATGACCTAAGTGGCCTGTGGAGACCTGGCCACATGTGAATCTCTTCCAAGTGGATGGACACTCTACCTGTACCAGTCCTCAGAACCAAGAGAAATGGGGACAAGTGCCAGGGGTTCGCTGTGTGTGGCTTCTTGGCCTGCGCTCCAGGATCGGTACACAGGAGGTACAAGGCAGGCTGCGGCCAGTCTGCTATGCTCCCAGTCTGCTTATGACCTTCTCCTGGATCCCGCAATCACTTAATTCTCTTAGATTGTCTGTCCTCACAGCATCACAGAAAGGCTGTTTTACAGGGTGCAGATAGGGATGTGGTTTGACAACGAAGTCACACTCTTTGACATGGTCTTCTTCTGAAACTATCGGGTTGTGGGTGCACTCAGGCACCCACAAGTGCCTGAAAAATGGTAATTTCCCATTTATCATATTTATTATTTTTAGGGTAGTCATGGCCAGTTATGCTTTTTGTTGTGATAATGATAAAGTTTAGTTTTCAAAGTTCATATACAATTTTGTTATTTTAGACCAACTGGTCAAATCCCAGAAATAGAGTGTCACGTAACGCCATTTTAGTTTATTTCCTTCACAAAGGGTCGTCACCTCGGTCGGGGCATTACAAAAAAGATGGCGATGGCAGAGTAGGGGGCGCGGCAATCAGCTCCCAGCCCCAGCAAGCCGAGGACAGGTCGAGGGCGGGGTCCGCCACGCCACGTTGAGACTCCGCCCCCTGAAGTTGCTCCGCCTCCAGAATCTAGGCGCCTGCGCGGGGTTCTTCAGGCCGGCTCAGCCTCACAGAGCACGCGCGCCCAAACAACATTCAGATTGGAGGGTCTGAGCGTCCCGCCACACTCTGATTGGTGGAGCTGATTGTGCTCTGTCAGCTTCCGCGACCCCACTCTCGCGGCCGGACTGTGGCGCTGCCCCGGGCACTGGCCGCCCAGTCGGCGGCGCGCACCCGGGCCTGCGGGCCTGCTTGCACTGCTTTCAGGACTACCAGTCCGCCTGCTTCCGCCCTCACCCCGACTTGGAGGCCTCGGTCATGTCCTTCAAGGCCCAGGTGAGGAGAGCTCTGCAGCGAGTGCCCGGGAAGCAGCGATTCGGCGTCTACAGGTTCCTGCCCTTCTTTTTCGTCCTGGGAGGAACGATGGAGTGGATCATGATTAAAGTGCGCGTAGGCCAGGAGACCTTCTGTAAGTAGGGTGCAGCAGCAGCCTCCGTTTCTCCTGTGGGTATGCAACTACAAGCCGCCGATTCCACTCATTTGCAGAACTGCTTTTTTAGGCCGAAGGACAAGAGTTACTCATTTGGCCGTTCTGCAGCTCGGGCTGGATGCCCTCGGGCTCTTGTATTTTGCTCGCGTTGGCATCCAGCCCTCCTTCTCTCCCGGCACTTTAAGAGGGCACGTGCCTCCACTCAGACTGTAGTCCTTTGTTGCCTGTCCTTGGCCTGGGTGGTGACGTCGGCCTAAGGAACAGGATTGCTCACTTTTGGTAGAGGGACCAGTCCTGAGGACTCAGAAATTGCGGTTAAATCCCCTGCCCTTGGAGATCGATAGGCCAAACTCAGACGCTAGCCTGCCTGTCCTAGCTAATTACCACCCGTTACAGGTAGTTATTAGGCTATATCTTTGGCCTAGAACTGTGTGGGGAAAGGCATTTCTGAGGACTGCCTCTGGAATGGTCAGTTTCCTCCAGGCCTCCTCCCAACCTTTGGACCCTTAGTTTTGTCTCTCACATAACTTTATCGCTTGAGAAAATTTTGTTATTGCACTTTGATACGGGGCCTGACTATGTTCGTCCATTCTGGCTTTGAGTCTTGAAACTTGCAGCCATCCTCTGGGATTACAGGAACGGGCCCCCACTCAGTGGTTAATGACCATCCCTGGGAGCACCTAGCGAACAAAACAAAGGGGCCTCCATTTCAGAAGAGCTTATGGGAATAAGGCTGGGTGTAGCTTGTGGTAGAGTACTTGCCTCCCATAAGCGGAGCTCCATTCCTACCACTCAACATGAAGCGTTCCATGAGGGGTATGAGTAGTTCAAGAATCCTGGATGGGCACTTCATTGGATCAGATGGTGTGTGGAAGGCTTCTGGGGAAAGACAGGCATTTAGGACTGTCAGCCAGGTAAGGGGGAAGATCAATGGATCTGACTTCATGGCAGTGGTTAGAGAAGCCTGGAGGCTTCTGTGAATGCTGTTTGAGGGACTGTAGCAGATGGAAGGTGGTAAACTCCAAGGACAGGAAAGCTAGAGGACTGGAAAGCAGTTGTAGTCTGAGCAGAATTCTTTCCACTGAAAAGTGTGACCACAGACAGAGGAGGCCAACGGGGCTGCACTTCCCTCTGCAAGAATGGTGACATGGATAGAGGGCTACCTGGGTAGGACTATGAAAGAACTGGACAGTAAGAGTATATCGTAATGATTAAAGAGGCCCATTCTGGAGACATGGATAGAAACACAGGCAGTGTATGGTCGGCCAGATTTGAGGTGATGGCTAGTCCACCAGGCAAAGGGAATGCCAACAAGGGGGTGGAGCTGAGACAGCCTAGATAAGAGTGCTGCTAAGAGTCTGGTAAGAAGAGATGGGACATGAACGCTTTTCAAGGAACACAAGGGCAACGCTGTACTTCCACTGGAGGTGTAGAACATAGGCAGGTGAGCATGTGTGCCATTTAGGATATGATGAGACCTCAAGTTCAAGAGAAAGTTTGGGCCAGACTAGACTGTGATTCAGCTCAACTGTGATTGAAGTGTCAGACTCCAACATGTTTAAGGTGACTTGGAGGGGCTTGAAGGAACACCAGGAAGAATTCTTGATGACAGGAGATGAGGAAATGTGACTGTGAAGGGGAAGGTAACCACCTGCCCTGAGAGACTGATGTGCAAACGCTGATGTGAAAGGGCGAGGCTGGACCTGAGGCTTTAACTCACTGGGTACAGCACTTGTTTTGGCATGCAGGAATTCCTGAATTCAGTTTTCTGAGAAAAGTGTGTGGGGGAAGGGAGACTGCATCTTCAGAAGTACCAGTGCCCAGTGGGAGCAACCTTAAAAAGATTTCTTTACAGTGGTCTTTCTTTGTTGAAGGGAATGTTCTTAGTCTTTGGGAGCTGAGGAAACTGCTTTCAGCCTTGTTAATGGAGTCAGTTAAGAGGTGCCTCAAGCAGCATGAATTGATAAGTGAGGCAGTTGAGTTGGAACAATCTGGTTGGGGTTTTAGAGGGCTGTCAAGTAGTTAGGTTCGGGAGTAGAATGTGAAGGAGCTTCAGCTGGTTTGGCAGGCCAGTGGGCCAGAGGAAGGTGGTAAACTCCAAGGACAGGAAAGCTAGAGGACTGGAAAGCAGTTATAGTCTGAGCAGAATTCTTTCCACTGAAAAGTGTGACCACAGACAGAGGAGGCCAATGGGGCTGCACTTCCCTGCAAGAATATGGATGATCTAAAAGGCACAGATGAAGAGGCAGGAAACCTGAGCTGGCAGATCATGTTACCAGTGACGGAGTGACAGAAGATGACAGTCAAATAAGCCTTGAAACAGAGTTTTTCCTTTTTTTTAAAGGAAGATGTTTATTTTTTTTACATAGGGGCAGAAAATTAGTTTGGAAAGACAGCTGCTGAGAACAGGAATTATTACATTCCTCCTTACTCAGATTTTGAAACCTAGGCAGGCAGCAGCAGAGTCTTGAGCAAGGGAAATCTTTGAGAACAGAAAGATATGTCAGGACATGATCCGGGGATGTGAGTATGTCTCTGAGACGTGGATATTTACTCTGTCATCTCAGACTCAACATAAACTGATCTCTAGTTGCAGTGCTGGAGATGGCACTCTGCCACTGAGGAAGCCCCCAGAATCTATTTTTAAAATTCCTCAGTTGTGGGGCTGGTGAGATGGCTCAGTGGTTAAGAGCACTGCTGCTCTTCAGGAGAACCTGAGTTCAAGCCCTAGCATTATGGCAGCTCATAACCATGTTCAACTCTGGTTCCTGGGGATAACACCCCATCACACACAAACATGCAGGCAAACCACCAATGCATGTGAAATAAAAATAAGTTATTTAAAATCCTGTTTCCTAAAAATCTAAGCAAAATTTTTGTTTGATACAGATGATGTCTACCGTAGAAAAGCTTCAGAAAGACAGTATCAGAGAAGGCTGGAAGATACATCAGAGACAAATCTTCATACGTTAATAAAATAAATATGAATTTTCAGTGTTGATTTCAGCCATTTTGTGTTTTCATACAGTCTTATTCTTCCCCAGGCTGGTCTTCAACTCAAGGAAATCCCTGCCTCTGCGTGCTTAGCTCCATTAAGATCATACTCTTTAAAAGAGGACAGAGAGAGAGAGAGAGAGAGAGAGAGAGAGAGAGAGAGAGCGCTCAGCAGCTAAGAGAACTGGCTGCTCTTCCAGAGGACCTGGGTTCAATTCCAGTACCCATACAGCAGCTAACAACCATTTGTAACTCCAACACCCTCTTCTGGCCTTTGTGGACACTGAAAGATGGTGCATGCAGGCAAAACACCCATACACACTAATTTTTATTCTGAATACTAATCCTTTAGCAACTGTATATTAGCCCAAGAACAGCCTTTACAGAGCCTTTTCATAGTTCTACAGTCTCTAGTTGACTGTATTCCAAGTCGCTGTTGGACAGTATGTTCCTAAAACTCACCCAGTGTGTCTCATTCTTAAGCTTTTCTTAAGCTATTCAAAGATCAACCAAGATGTTTTGAAATGTAGCCTGGCTTATTTGTGATTTATTTTTAATTACATGTATGTGTATGTGTGTGTGTGCCTTCATCCATTTCAGTATGTGCGTGTGAGTACAGGTGCCTGTGGAGGACAAACATTGGATTCCCTGGAGCTGGGAAGGTCGTGAACTACCTCATGTGAATGCTGGGAATCAAGCTTGGGTCCCTTGGAAGCGCAGAAAAGTGTTCTTAACAACCAACCTTTCTCTCTAGCCCCAGCTTTGTTTCTTTCTGGTGGAATTCCAATGAAACCATGGCCATAAAAGATCTTTTCAAGACCACCTTAACTAGGGTGACAACACAGGTCACATTTCTGTCCTTTTTCCAATTTGTAAGCTTTGTAAGTAAAGAAAAAGCAAGTTTCAAAATAGGAAGAAAGAAGCTGATGTTTAAAGGCCATAGGGTTAACATCAAGTTGATTATCCTGCCACAAACACTTCTAAATGGGCTCGGTGGAGGTGGAGGAAGGAGATCAGTAGTTTAAGGCTAGGATAGACTACCTGAGACCCTTTCTTGAAAAATATACAACTAGAAAGTCTTTTAGTTTTTTTTTTTTCTTTCTTCCTTCTAGCAACTTCTTCATATTTTGAGTTTGCTAAAGTTAGGATCAGTTCAGTATAAAAAGGATCATAACTAGCTGGAGAGATGGCTCAGAGGTTAAGAGCACTGGCTGCTCTTCCAGAGGTCCTGTAGTTCAATTCCCAGGAACCACATGGTGGCTCATAGCCATCTGTAATGAGACCTTGTGCCCTCTTCTGGCGTTCAGCTGTACATGCAGGCAGAACATTATATATATAATAAATAAATAAGTCTAAAAAAGAACCCAACAAACCAAACAAAAAAACTCCACAAAAGAATCATAACTATTTAGACTGCACCAGGTTCAGCTCACTATTGGTGACCAATTACGTGGTTACACTTCAGTTTCAGAAGTTTTATTTGTGGAGTGTCGTGGCCTGTGCCGTTAATGGGAGGCAGAGGCAGGTATGGATCTCTGAGTTCCAGGACAGCCTGGTTTACAGAGTGAGTTCCAGGACAGCCAAGGCTACATAGAGAAACCTGTCTTGGGGGAAAAAAAAAAAAAAAGGTTGAGTACTCAGCATGTTGTGAGGAATAGTAATACAACCAACATTAGCTAGCTTGTCTGCTATAGCTTCTTCGCTTGTCCACTTCTCTATCCCTTCCCTATGATCTTTATTAAAAGAAAAACTTGAAAAATGGCAAAACGACTTGATTTTGTTTGGAATCTATTAATAACTCATTTGTTAACCAATGTGCAAGTATAAGTATTTTAAAAAGTGTTCTTTAAAATGTGCGTGTGTGCATGCGCACATGCCTGCCAGAGAGCCCCTTGGAGTTGGAGTTACAGATAGTTGTGAGTCTCCCAGTGTGTGCTGGGAATCAAACTTGGGTCCCATGAAAGAATAGCAAGCATTCACTCAACCTCTGGGCCATCTCTCCAGCTCCAGGGTGCAAGTTTTCAATTTCCTAAAATTAAATTAAACCCCATTTTCTAGGATGATTTCTGTGACTGGGGCAGTGCTGGAGTTGAGAGTAGGGCTTTGTATATGCTAGACAAGCATGTCTATCCTTTTACCTTTATTTTTAAGACAGGGTCTTATTAAATTGTTCAGGCTGGCCTTGAACCTGCAATCTTCCTGCCTCAGCCCCCTAAGTATCTGGATTAAAGGTGTGAGCCACTAGGCCAGATAGATAAAAATTTACCCTTTATTGTAACTTGTTTCCATTGGAGCTTCACTTTATCACGTGAATTGATGGGGAAAGTACCTAGAATTAGGCATATAGTAAATGAAGAAGAAAGGATATTTTTATCTGTCTTGTAGTTCTGTTTTGGAAGACTTATCTAAATCCCTGATGTTTTACTTTATCACATTAATCTTTTTTTTTTTTTTTTTTTTTTAATTTTTCACAATTTAGTTTCCTCTAAAAAAAAAAAAAAAAAAAAAAAGTGCATTCTTGGACCATGGAGTTTTTCCAAAGCAATTTTTCTCCTTGTAAAGGAGAAAAGCATCTTACCACATTTATAAACAACTACCAAGACATGAATACATAGTACCTCAGATAGGGGAAAATGATAGTCTGTTAATTTATTCCACACTGAACTTTCAGTTAGCTGATCTAGCATACTCTCAAATTAAGATAGATGACAAAAACTCAGCAGTATTTGTTTGTGCAGGGCTTGGGTGGAAAGTTAGGTATCAAAGATCCTTCTTCACTCTCGGGCATAGGTGGCTGTGTATTTGTTTCTACAGTCTGAGGACAGAGCCACAGGGTTTTGCAAAGTGGTATTAGGAGAAAACAGTTCACCAATTTTACCATCATTTTCTTCTAAAAGCATAACACATTCCAAACTTGTCAACATGTTAAAGATTCACCTGAACCACTTGTCTTAATGGTCACAGTTGAACTTTTAAAATGAGCTCTCTGCTTTTTGACAGAGAATGTACCTTCTTGTCCACCCTGGATTTGACTGCCAGCCTGAGGGACATAGGACATATCGGACTGCAAGTAGGGTCTCTGCACACTGAATTCCACCCTGACAAGAAGAGCTTTCTTCCTTGAGCTGGCAGCCCTATCCTCTTCAGCACGAAATCAGGGCTTGTAGGAATCTTCAGTCTGCTAAAAACATTTGACACAACTTTAACAGAACCACCAAATCTGGCTAATCCAAATCACTTTGCAAACTCTTGTTTTTATTTGGATTAAAAAGCTTTGATGAACAAACATATGATACATACATGGCATAGAACCAGTTACCACTTAAACTTCAGATAATGATATAATACAGAAATTAGAATAAACCAAATTTAAATCCGGCCTGGAAATGAAAGTTCAAGCTGAAAGTTGTAACATCAGTTTGGGGATTTTACACACACATGTTCCTTATCCCCTCAGATACTTCTCAGAAGGGGAAGGCAGATTTAGTAAAACCAAGGTCTTTTACGACATACTATTTTTAAACCTGTAGGTCCCCAACTCAATATAAACAAAATTCTTCATAGGAACTTACATTTTGAAAACAATTAGGTCATTATATTTCCTAAGCCACATTACTACAGTTCTTAAAAGTCATGAGAAAGTGTATTGTTTACTTGTACTGCTTTTAAGTTCAGGCTTTTTCTGTTTTTAAAGATGGCTGATCTCAAATATTATACGCTAAGTAATCACTGATACTCTCAAAGCATGATTCTAAAATAAATAGTATCTTAAATGTTTTTAATTAATTTCTTTTTCTTTTCCTTTTTTTTTTTTTTTTTTTTTTTAAGGTAATCAGGGCCTGCCTTAGGGACATGATACCCTGTGCTGGATGTACTGCCTTAGGGAAGCTGGGGCCAGCTCTTGGTTCCTACAGCACTAAAGCACTGGAAAGGAGCCAGGAGGAGTGCTCTGGCTTCTAGTGCCCCTGGTCACTGATAGTGAAGGGTTTTTGGAGGCTCCCCAAGGAGCTTCATCTAAGCCTTTAAAAAGAAAAAGAAAATGAATGCATGAATTAAATAATCTAACCAAGATTAAGTTTCTGGTTCTTTGGTGTAATTCAAGGGTACCTAAAAAGAAAAGAATTTAAATACATTAAATAGTCCATGATGAGTCAATGGTCCAAATAACCAGGAATCAAAGATTTATTTGATTCAGTTTAACAACAAGGTACTGGCAGAGTCTGCAGTACATTTTTTAAATTTAAGATTATTTAAAATACTTGATGAGAATTGAGATCCAGTGGTTGACTATTGGCATTAAGTTACAAGGGCTCCTGTATTAGGTACCAGGGACTCCTTTCCATTCTATTCTCTTTTGTTCTCATGATTTATTAAGCATGGCAATTAAACACGAGTACTGATTTGTTATATTTTAAAGGAAACGCGTGTCTTTTAACAATCATTCTCAATGAACAACAGTGGCAGCATCAGCACAACACAACCACACCCTATTGGAGTAAAGCAGGTTCAAAAACATACCACCATGAGAACTGTCTGCTGCCACTTGAGCACCGCACGCTGCCTCATGTGTGTTCCAGGGCCATGTGAGAAGACAGGGTTTCGCTTGCTGAGCATTGTGACACCTGCCTTTAATCCTAGCACTTGGGAGAAAGAGGCAGGAAGATGTCTGCAAGTTTGAGACTAGCCTGGGCTATACAGTAAGTTCCAGTCCAGCCAGGGTACATAGTGGGACCATGTCTTAAGAAAAGAAGGACAAGGTCACCAAGTCCAAGTTTGGGATCTGTAATAGTCTTTTTTTTTTTTTTTTTTTTTGTCAACATTTTCTTAAAGTATAATTTCTTTCTCCTATAATCCAAAGCACAAGCTGAATTTTAAAATATTTTTGAAAGTATTATTTCTGGTTGAGAAGTCCAACCCTGAAACAAACAAAATACCACAACTGATAACAAGGAAACATAGAATCTAGAACATCTGTATATGTAGGCAGTCTACCCTAGCAC